TCATTAGCAGCCAGGCTGCAGTTGAAGCCATGAGAATAAAGTCACAGAGAGTATTTTAGACTTGTGAGAAGAAAACTGCCAAGAATAAAACTATTCTCTACATATGCCTCCGTATATACCATTGCACCATTGCTCATAATGTTCCCTTATCCAGAGTGCCCTATTTGTCACTCTCATATCCAAATTCTGTTCATAATAGTATGGTACACATTAGTGCAATTTTTTTACCCCTTCTTTTTAAAAAATGTTTACTTATTTATATTTGAGAGAGAGAGAGGGAGGGAGTGTGGGGCAGAGAATGAGAGAGAGAGAGAGAGAGAGAGAGAGAGAGAGAGAGAGAGAGAATCTGAAGCAGACTCCACACCGTCAGCACAGAGCCTGACGCAGGGCTCAAACTCACAGACCTATGAGATCGTGACCTGAGCCAAAGTCAGACACTTAACCGACTGAGCCACCCAGGCACTCTTTTACCTTCTTAAGAACACACTGACGTCTCTATTGGAGTGTTACCTCTCCCAACTGTGCAGTTTGGGTAGGTGGTAAGACCAGCTGTTTGCTTTTCCATTGTAGAAGGTGAGGCGGTGCCCAAAGGCTTCTCTGATTATATCCTTCCTTTTACTGTCCTGTATTGTCAAGGGGTAAGTACTTTGCATAAACTCAGCTAGTTGGCTACTTCTGAGTGAGATTTTGACTCCTGAGTGAATGCCACAAGGCCAAGTGACAGAGTTGTTCATTCAACCCAGTAATGGAACCTGTTCCTACAGTACCAACTTCCTATCCCTCCACAACAACTTGGATCCCTACCCATTTTAAAGTCTGGTATTCCCGCTTTCCCAACAAATCTGTGAGCTCTTCTTAACAACAGTATCCCTTGCTGGCAAGGATGTGGAAAAACGGGAACCCTCTTGCGCTGTTGGTGGGAATGCAAACTGGTGCAGCCACTCTGGAAACAGTGTAGAGGTTCCTCAAAAAATTCAAAATAGAACTACCCTATGACCCAGCAATAGCACTGCTAGGAATTTACCCAAGGGATACAGGGGTGCTGATGCATAGTGGCACATGTACCCCAATGTTTATAGCCGCACTTCCAACAATAACCAAATTATGGAAAGAGCCTACATGTCCATCAACTGATGAATGGATAAAGAAATTGTGGTTTATATACACAATGGAGTACTACGTGGCAATGAGAAAGAATGAAATATGGCCCTTTGCAGCAACCTGGATGGAACTGGAGAGTGTTATGCTAAGTGAAATAAGTCATACAGAGAAAGACAGATACCATATGTTTTCACTCTTATATGGATCCTGAGAAACTTAACAGAAAACCATGGGGGAGGGGAAGGAAAAAAAAAGGTTAGAGAGGGAGGGAGCCAAAACATAAGAGACTCTTAAAAACTGAGAACAAACTGAGGGTTGATGGGGGTGGTAGGGAGGAGAGGGTGGGTGATGTGTATTGAGGAGGGCACCTGTTGGGATGAGCACTGGGTGTTGAATGGAAACCAGTTTGACAATAAATTTCATATAAAAAAAACACAACGGTATCCTTACGATAAAGCCTATTTTCCTTAAATCATTTGAAGTAGATATACTAGTCAATTTATATTACCTTAACAAAATACCATAGACTGAGTGGCTTAACTATAGAAATGTATTTTCTCACAGTCCTGGAGGCTGAAAGTCCAAGATTGGAGTGCCAGCACCGTCAGGTTCTGGCCAGAGCTCTCTTCCTGACTTGCTGATGGCCACTGTCTTGCTGTGTCCTCACAGGGAAGGTGGGGAGGTGGGCAGATCTTTCTTCTTAAGTCCTATTAGACCCCACCCTTATGACTTCACTTAACCTTAATTACTTCCTAAAGACCCTATTTCTTGAGACAGACACATTAGGGGTTAAGCCTGCAAGTGGAGGGTAAACCTCCTAACAGCAGAAGTAGTACAATAACCGAGGGTGATACTATATCATTAGTATTGAAAATAACTTCTGAATCTAACAGGCAAAATGAGAGGGGCTGGTGCCTGGGAGATCGGGTTAGTAATGACAGGCTTCTTTTGACCTTACCACGGTATAGAGTATGCCACCACTTTTCAGACCCCAGGGTATAAATTGTTTTACTACCCCTCCATGGCTGTATGTTTGCAAGTGTTGTAGGCACTTCAGAGAGGAAGTAAATGGGTTCACTTTAGCACCCCTTATCAGTCTTTTAGGCACTATGAGATATTAAAACAGAGCAGACACCACTACTCTGGAGGCACACTGCTTATTTCTCTGTTTTATATTCTTTTTAGACTTTATCTCTTTGAAGTTTAATTTATTCTGCATTTCCTGTGAATATTCTTTTATGCATTAATCCATATTTCTTGACATCTAGAAATTCAGGTGCCACATGTTGGGTGAATCTGCCTCAGTTCTCAGCAATTAAGTTTTCCCCCTTTCACATTCCCATTCTAATCCCTCACCCAATCTCCAAAAGCAAAAAATAAAATAAAATAAAATAAAATAAAATAAAATAAAATAAAATAAAAAGTCATAAAACTTGTGGTTTCCATTACACTTCCCTCAGAATACCGACACCGGGACACCTGGTTGGCTCAATCTATTGAACTTCTGACTCTTGATTTTGGCTCAGGTTATGATCTCAAGGCCAGGAGATGGAGCCCTACCTACATCCTACATCAACAGGGCGGGGAGGAATCTGAACTAGCAGTGCAGAGCCTGCTTGGGATACTCTCCCTCTCCCTCTCTCTCTCTCTGTCCCCCCCACCCCAAGTTCTTGCTCTCTCTCTCTCTTTCAAAACAAATAAAAATAAACTACAAAGAAAAAGAAAAAAGAATACAGACACTTTCATTGAAATTCTCTCAATTTCCTGCAGGGAAGGGAAATTCAGTGTTATTGCCACTTGAAAGCAGCAAAAAAGGCCTAGAGCTTATCTATATCAATTTTTGGTAATGTTTCTCCTAATGCTGTCCATGGACTACTAGCATCAGATTTACTGGTGGGCTTGCTCAAAATCCATATTCTGAGCGCTATCCAACTCTATAAGAACAGAATTGCTGAGAGTAGGGTAAGACATTAATCATCAGGAGATTTTCATGTACATTAAAGTTAAAGTATTATATCCTACTTTTGGACATAGGGTTTGAAGAATGAAAGCTTCAAGAGGACAAGCAATTTGGCTTGTTCCCCCAGATGTCCCCATCACCTAGAATATTGGCTGACATTTCCCACACACTCAGTAATTAGTGGTTAAGTAAATGAACAGAAAAAAACATGAACTTGTAGCCTTAAAACAGGAGTAACTGGAAACAGGAGGAAGCATTAAAACATGCTAGAATCCTGGCTCCACTGTTTATTGGTGCTTGACCTTGGACAAAACCTTAACCTTGTTCTTCAAAGTTCTCAAGGAGACTAGAGTAATAGTACTACTTGCTTAGTCTATCGTGAAGAATAAATGAATTTAAATATATAGAGTGCTTAGAACAATTCTTGTCTAAAACATTTAAAAACTTTGTCATTTAGCAGTAACCAGCCCAAGGTCAGGCATCTTTTCAGCCAGATCTGACCCAGGTTTTCTCACTCCTCCAACACTCATATACATATGAAAGACTTCATAAACAGCAGAAGGTCCTCTCTTTCCAAAATATCTCTTTAAGCACACCACTTGGTTCTTCAGATATGGGTAGAAATTTCCACCATCCCAGTCATTTTTACTTAAGTAGACAGGAAAACAGTGAGCACTTTCTAATAAAACAAGCACCTGTTACTAAGGATGGACTGGCAATCACAAACTGACCTCCCCTTTCTCCATGAGTTAGTTTCCCCCATTAACCCTAGTCAAGGATGAGGGTGTCAGCAGGTGGCCAATGAGAAGATTCCAAAAGTCTACCCAGAAATACATACTTTTTTTTTTTCCTTCAGAACTTCAGATACATACATTTTTTTTTAACCTCTGGGGTGAAAGAGAAAGGGAATGGAGGAGTAAAGGTATAGATTTAAAAAATGATGAGGAGAGCCTGGGTGGCTTGGTTGGCTAAACCTCAGGCTCTTGATTTCAGCTCAGGTCATGATCTCACGGTTTGTGAATTCGAGCCTGCATCCTGCTCTGCACTGACAGTGCAGAGATTCCCTTTCTCGCTCTCTCTACCCCTCCCCATTTATACTCTCTCTCTCTCAAAACAAATAAATAAACTTTAAAAAAAGACACCTTGATCTTTGTTCTACAAAAATAAAAAATACAAAAATGACGCAAACACCAAATTTTAAATCCTGAAGACGTTCATTGAGTGATGTTTTTGTTTTGTTTTTGTTCAAAACATGCAAAGCACTAACGTTCATTGAGTGATGTTTTTGTTTTGTTTTTGTTCCATGCAAAGCACTAACCCCCTTCTCAGGATAAGCATCGATTATAGCCAAAATGAAGATAGAAGCGACCATTGTCCTGCAGATCCTGGCATCCCAAAAGAAGAACAACCCCACCAGAAGCCGCGTTCTCAAAGGCTTCAACTTTTCTAGCCGGATCCCTAGATCCACATTCATAATGTTGGCAGCATGATGGGGATGGATTTGGAGTGGACACGAAACCGTTTTCACAGCATTTGATTAACTCAGATAACTAAAGCAAAACCAAAACAACCTTCCCTATTCCTTCACCTGGAGGCGTGTCGTTGGAAAGAAGAGGGCACCTCGTCGCGGGCACTTCAGGGGGGCGCTGTGCGAGGGTGTCTTTTGCGCCTCTGCCCTGTAGAAAAGCAGAAGGTGGGAACCAGAATACAACTGGGATGTAAGAAGGGGTAGAGAAGTACGAAAAAAGCAGCAGGGCTAGGGCCGAGGGTAAGAAGAAGAAAGAGAAGCGCCTGCGGGGACGTCAAACTAGGCGGCCCCAGGTGGACGCGCCGGGAGTCGCCGAGCGGCAGGAGGCGGGGTCTGCACCCAGCTGGCCGTGGGCGGGGCGGGGAGAGCGGCCCCGGGACCACACCCAGCGCCCGCGCGGCCCGCGCTTTCCCCAGCTCAGCGGGAGTTTGCCGCGTGAACCGCTGAAAGCGCCGACGGATGAATGAGCCTCCCACCGGGCTGGGGGGCCCCGGGGCTCCGGGGCCCCGCGGGCCTGAGAATCTCGCGGACGCTCCCCGCAGCCTGGGGCGCGCCGGGTCCTTTCCGCGAGACGTGGGGCGCGGGGCTCCCCTGGCTCCTGGCTCCCGGAATCCCGCGGCGACTGCGGGGGCGAGCGGAAGCCGGGGCGGCGCTCCCGAGAACCGCCCGGTGGCGGAGAACCTGGACTGTGAGCCCTGGGTCAGAGAGAAAGTGCTCTTTCTTCTGCACCCAGAGAGATGGTTGGGGACTCCAGGGGACCCTGCGCGGGAAGAAGCGGCCGGTGAGGAGGACTTCTTCCAGGCGGCCGGAGACGACCGGGAACCCAACTGCCCTTCCCTCTTTCCGGGAAAAAAGGGAATTTCTGGCAGCCGTGTAGACGCTCCGTTCGGAGCCCCGCCGCAGGACCCCGCAGCCCCGCCCAAGTCCGTGCTCGTGCGGATCGTGGACTATCAGGTAACAGAGGAAGTCCTGTGGACCGCCTGGACGCAGGGCCGCATGACCAGGCGCACGGAGGAGCACTCCATGACCGCGATCACGTTTCGCACCAACAGGGAATGAAGCCGGCTGTGGGGCGCCAGGCCCCCCGAGGACCCCGGGCTCTCTCCCCGTGGGGAGAGGCACCCCGCGTCCACTCTGCGGAGAGGTCACCTCGCGGTCCCCGAGGACTTGATTGCCGGAGGATGTGAAACAGGAAAGGAGAGCCTGAGGAATGTTGCGAGCAGGTGGTTGAGCAATAATCCTTAAAAGAAAAATTCTCTCCTGGGAACGCCAGCCTGTAGTTATCCAACGGGAGGACTTTTTAAAAGACTGGGGCAGCGCTTCTGGGAGGCGGATGTCACTCCATACAGAATGAAGAACAGTGAGCAACACAATACCTCCTTTGTGTCTTAAGTACTGTGACGGCCTGGGGACCTAAGTCATTGAGAAGAGGGGCAGGAAAGGTATTTTCAGATTGGTAAAATGTGAGCCTTTTGAAATAAGAAAATGGTTTTGTTAAGTCTCATTTTGCAATACATCTCAATTGATCTCTTTGCTGCTTCCGTAATCTAAGAACTAAAATCAGAAGTGCAGTTTGAGGTCTGCTCTCTAAAGGGGATGGGAGTAGATGAGGAGAGCGGCTTCTTTTAAAGCTGAAAAAGAAAGTAAAAAGAAATGGGAAAATTAAAGTAGCAAGTAAACAAAATATTTTCTTTTTACTTTCTTCTGATGTGCACATTTTTCTTTTTTATTTCATCAAGTGTTAGGGAAAAAAAAACAAAACTAGGAAAAGAAGAGGGAGAACATAAGACCCAGCTTTGAAGGTGAGATGCCATTTAAATGGGCTTTATACTCCAAAGTATTTAGTCTAGTAAAAATACTTTTTATCTGGTTGTTATTTATTTTAAAGTTTTAAATACGGTAGGTAAATCGGATCTCAAGGTAGATAATGTATAGTTTGGTTTACATGATTTGTGTATCTTACTCATGTCCTTAGCTCCTTATTAATAACATTTGTATGCAAGACTGGATTGCAAATGCGTCTCTCTTGATGTGTTGGAAAAGAAAAATTTTTTCTGGTGCTATTGAAATAACTCATTTTATTTGTTCCTTTTTTTTTTTTTTTATTAAATACTGTTGTCATGAACTCCTTAGTAGTGTGGCCTGGTTTGGAGATCGGTGAGAAGCAAAGATGTACTACTGGACTTCAGCTGTGCTGAAGGAGTCTTTGGTTACTTCAAGAATGAACAAAACAAAATGGGACTCCTGGCTTTTGAGGAGTAAACTGTTGAACAGTGCCCCCTACCTCATTCCTCCCTCTTTGCCCTTTATTTTCAATTTAGAGCTTGAAATGTCCTCAGATATCATCTGATCCTCTTGCCTCCTGGCAGAGAAGATAGGTAAGATACATCCCTGTTTTACAGATGACCTAACCTAGGTATAGAGACCACATGGCTTGGGTAGGTCACACAACTAGTAATTGTGTACACTTACTAAGTAGGTAAGAATACAATCTCCCTTCTAAAGGTTTGAGAATGGCCTTCAGAGGGACTTACTTGTAGGGAGTCAAAACATGACAGAGCATCCTGAGTTTTCTGACTCATGTTTATGGAAGGTGCTAGAATCACCTTGATGCCCCAGAGTCCTACAAGGTCTTTTGGCTGGAGGATCACCACTGGCAGTTCTTAGGACCATGAGACCCACACTGGAGAAAAGAATTCAGCACCTGACCTCATCTCGGTTCAAAGCTGCTTGGTAGATAGAAAGGGTAATATAAGCCCTGTAAAGTGAATTATCCTTTACTCCAACAAACTTGTCTGGCCCCTATGTGAAGTTAAATTTCTTTGGTAGACAGTTTTCAGGACTGAAAATTAATTTAATGAATTTGGTTGTGAGTCATTATATGCCCCAGATGACTGAACATTGAATTTATAGTCAGCAAGGAAAGCCTCCTCAGCATTGACCAAAATGTCATTTTGTTGCCTTCTGTATGGAGGCAAACTCTGAAGTTCAGTTTTTGGGTTCAAAACTGTCCCATTTCTTACTGTGACTTTGGACAAGTGCTTAATCTCTATGTGCCTCTGTGTCCTTATTTATTAAGTAGGAATAATAAATACCATCAACCTCATCCTAAAGTGTTTTTTCCTGGGATTAAGTTAAATGAAGAAACCTTAGAATAATGCTTGGTACAGTAAAATGCTGAGTTAGCTGTTATTATTAGTGTTGTGATTGTTTAGTTCACTTTCATCCCAAGCATTCTTTAATAAGAAAAACAGCTGAAAGCATACAACACCAGGAATCCTGTGATCCAAACCAGTGATTTTTATTGACTCAGGCATTCCTGAAAGAAGAAACTTATCTCTGGTTTTTGCTTAAACTTATCTCAGGTACAACCTTAAATTTCTTAGAAATGACCTCCACATCTTGATTCAAAGGCCTAAGGTGCATCATGCTTGACAGAGTCTTTGAAGAGGTTTCAAGTCTGCTTAGTTCCCCTTGGTAGGAGTTTTGAATGCTTTCTTTAGGTGTCAGGTTAGTTTCCCCTTAGAGTTTTAAATCTGATGCCCTATTGTCCCAGAGAAGCAGAATAGATACCCATTTTCATCTTACCTCCTTTCTGACACAAATGTATTTATTCAAGTCAGCTTAACTCTTTTAGTCCAAGTATGCTTAGGTTAATTTATCTCAAGTAAAAATTATTTTTATTTTTTTGAGAAACAGAGGCAGAGTGTGAGCAGGATAGGGGCAGCGAGTGAGGGAGACAGACCGGAAGCAGGCTCAGGCTCTGAGCTGTCATCACAGATCCCAATGCGGAACTTGAACTTAAGAACTGTGAGATCATGACCTGAGCCGAAGTCAGCCGCTTAACCAACTGAGCCACCCAGCTGCCCCTAAAATAAAGGTTATTTTTAAAGCACTTGCCAGCCTTCTTGTTGACTGCCTACAATGCGCTTACAGATTTCCTAATTAAACCGAGGTCTCCCTGATACGAAGTAGTAAGTTGAAGCACTGTTGAATTAGCTGCGCAGGTTTTCAATATCCAAACAGAACCCTTTTGAGTGAGGAGCCTGAGGAGTCTTTTCCCATTCACAGTGTCCTGGGAGTGAATCCAAAGTGAAATTTGAGCATTCTCAATACTAAGAAATCTCTGCGAATGGCTGGGTGTTGGCTGTTTGGTCTTACCACCACCTTGCTGGAAAATATGATCATCTATAATTGTCTCAGGTGGATGAATCATAGCAAGGACTTCCAGAAGCCCCGTGGCCACTCAAGTGACCATAGGCAAATATCACATAAGTTCCATCAGGCAAGTGTTGGCCTGTCTTAAAACCTTTGTCCCCATTAGGCAAGTGTTGTCCTCTCTTAAAACCTTTGTCTACATCCTTCACCAACTTTGAGATGCATTACATTTGACTTGCTGTTCTTATTCTTGTTGCTTATCACCAATACTTTATGTGCCTTTTTGCTTATAAAAAGGAGAAAGAAAGACAAATCTTCCTGTTAAAAGAAGTTATATTCATTGCAGAAATTTTGAGGAAATAGCTTGCAAGGAAAAAGAAAACTGGAGTAAAAGGAAACAAAAATTCACCCATGACCCCAAATCTGTTCATATCTGATACATTTCCAGTCTTGTTTTATTTACTTTATTTTTTATGTGTATATCCATACCTACAGACCTATACTTTTCTTGGCATAGGCAATTATAAAATCTGAGTATTGTCAATTACATAAACTAAGACATAGTGATGCTATTCAGGGTGAACCAGAAGCATGGGCATCTCTAAGAATATTTTTTTTAGACTTGGAGAATCTCGGGCCCCAGTCTAGATATTTAATCACAATTTGTATTCCCACAAGACCACTGGGTGGCTCACATTAAAGTTTGAGAAGTACTGATGTATATGCTGTATGTAGTTCTGTGTCCTACTTTGTCACAAAAACCAAAACGTTTTCATTTTCTCTATTCCCCATTAACAATTGTTAACAATGCCATGGAGATAACACTTTGTAGAATTACAGAGGCATTTAGAGATTGCAAAAGAGTGAGGTATATATTGATTCGTGAATTGGCAAGGAGATCTCTAAAAATCTGTGGTTTTTTTTAAAGAGTCATTAGTCTAGAGGTTTTCATAATGAAACATTGATTATTAGAGTTCAGAAATGTGGTTCTTTTATTACCTAAGAATGTGAGACAGTACTTAAAAAACCCCTTAAGGGAGGAAGGGCAGGAAGTCATTAAGGAAAACACAATTTCAACACTTCTACAGGCTGAGTCAGGTCTCCTGTTAATGAATTGCAAGGGGTTGGGGAGGAAGGTGGAGCCTGAATTTGAATCCACGAATCAGTGATTCAGATAAGAAAACAAAGGCCTTGACTCTTGAACACCCTGATTTGTTTAGAACTCTAGTGGGTACTTTGCTCTTTAATTAAGGAGGGCAAATCTTAGTAACTTCTCCAGATGAAGATAAGAGGTGACACAGTACTGTTTACTTTGGAAAGAGTAAGAAGTTATAATCCGTTCTTAGGCACTGTTCTGCCAATAGTGACCAACAAAACGTTAGACTTGCTTGCTTTGAGGCTTGGAATTAACTTTAAATTCAAACTCAGATTTCAAAGTGTTAAGATAGAATGAATACTTTTGGGGAGACTGCAGCCTTTGCAAAACTGGACAGGCAGAGGTTCTTTATTTAGAGTTCGGTGTAGGAAAGGAATTAGCCCGCCTCACTTGGCACTGGGCAGGGAAGCAAAGGCAGGCAGGGCAGTGGGAATGCTTTACAGTAACCACGATGACCTTAATGTTACCCCCTGGCTAAACCAGACAGCTTGCTTTCTGAGTGTAAGCTTTTGACCTCCCTTTCCTTGGGGCATTTTCTTTAGAAAACTTGAAATTGTCAATTCTTTCTTTGCCTCTTTGGCATGTAAATCTCTCAACCTCGTGTCTGTTTTTACATCTGGGGAACATCTTTCTCAAGGACCTGGGAGCCATCTCTTGGAAATGTAATAAAAAAGATAGGGCTCCTAACTTCCAGTGTCTGGGAGAAGGTAAGAGCCTACCTTAATAAGTATCAATTAGCAAACAAGAGGGCCTAACTGAATTGACCACCCTCCTCTCAGTGCCCCCCCCCCGGTACTTTTCCACTAACCTACCCCAGGGCTTAAAAACTCTGTCACCTTTTATTTCAAAGGAGTTGAGTTTAATTCTGTTCATCTTCTCTCTCCTATTGCAATAAATTCTTACAGTTATTTATAAGTGTTACATAAATTCTTCCTTGCCTGTTCCATTCTGTCTGGTACAATTTTTCTTTGACAGTAGTGAAAAAAAGCTTCATATATGCTCGGATTGGAAACTATTAACATAGAGAAGGTGGAGGTGGGCTATCTAAAAAAAAAACTTCTTTGGGACACCTGGATGGCTCAGTTGGCCACTGACTCTCGATATCTGCTCAGGTTGTGATTCACAGTTGTGAGAATGAGCTCTGAGTCTGGCCCCCACTCTGAGCCTGGAGCCCCCTTGGAATTTTTTCTCTTCTCTCTCTACTCCTCCCCTGCTTATTTTCTCTCTCTTACAAAATAAATAAGTAAACATTAAAAAAATTATTTTTAGAGAGACTTCTTGTATGTTTGGCTTGGGGCTTTCTCTGGTGTATCCTGCGCTAGAAGGGTACAAAAAAAAAAAAAAAAAAAGAAAAGAAAAGGAAGCTGGCAGTCACTGACCAAGTTCTGATCTTTCTGGGCTGATTGCTGCTGAGGCTGTGGTTCCCAAGCTATTTGCTTTACAAATTGTGGTCATAGTTCTACAACCAGATAAATAATATCAACATCATAAGGTTTGTTTTTTTTCCCCCAGGAGTAAGTTAAAAATACTTGGAACAACAATAATGTTTAATATTAGCTATTATAATAATATTACTATTATCTGTGTTATTATTACTGTTTAGTTCACTTTTTATCCTAACCCAGGCTTCAGTCTTTTATAACAGAAGAGAACACATACAACACAAGAAATCATATCAAAACCAAACCAGTGGCTTTTACTAAGATGCTTTTCTGTCTTTTTTCATATATTATCATACATGGCCTGGTCATTGTCCACTTTTATATCCAGTCTCTCATTAATTTTAGGACAATCTTGAAGACAGAATTAGACACCAGAAGACCTAGTCACAGAATTCTGGAAGGTCCAGTCACAGAATTCTTTTTTGGAGATAATCACATTATATTTATTTCTTAGAAACATCCAGAGTACAGCATTGCAAGTAGTTTCTTTATGGGGGTGAAATAGGCTTTGGCATAGTTCAGCCCTGACTGTTGGGACCCAAAATGCTGTATAATGGATTAGTGCCTCCTTACTGAGGTAAGGGCTGTGTAAAGTCTACTACCTGGGCATGTGGATTTCCCAGTGGTCACTGAGATTGCTGGGTGCATAAGCCTGATCTTAAGCCTGGTTTGTTAGACAACCTGCCCGAGGCCCAAAACCCTGAATCTTAAAGCTGATTCTATACCCACTCTATTATCCTTAGGCACACGTCCAACTTCAAAAAAAAAAAAAAAAAAAAAAATCTTACGACTTTGAAGTTGTTTCGAAAGTTTACTAGCTTTTTGGAAAAGTGGATATAATTGAATTCCCAAATCAGCTTACTTGGGAGAAGGGTGGGGGAGTGTAATGGACACCAGATACTTTTTACGAAACCAAGACAGCTCTCAGCGAGGGTTTCTGTACACAATTTCTGTAAAGATTGGTTCTCTGACAGCTGGTTCTCATGGTTCTCTGTGTCTCAGAGAAGCCATCAGAGTACCTGTGGACTTTCAAGCCAGCCTCAGTATTAGTGCAGATCCCTGAGGTTATATGGGTCGGGCTCTGCAGTCCTTCTTTTCTTTCTTTCTTTCTTTTTTTTTAATTGTAGTATAATTAGCATACACTAGGTTATGCAGTCTCCATCCCAACATAACTGAGTGGGAAAATGTGCAAATGTACAAGTGAAATAATTCTATAATCAAAATGTTGGAATGGAAGGGGGCACCTGGATGGCTCAGTTGGTTAAACGTACAAATCTTGATATCAGCTCAGGTCATGATATCACAGTTTGTGAGTTTGAGCCCCACATTGGGCTCTGCTGACAGTGTGGA